TCTTAAACACAGTTTATTAAAATATTAATCTATTTTACTATCTATATTTGTTTACTTTCATCATATACAAAGAACCATAAAATAATCTGCATCAGAAGGGAACCCAAAAAGTAATCTGAACCACTCCCCCACTGAAAGTGAGACTAACTTCAGCATTACATCAGGTTGCTCAGGAACTCGTGCAGTCAGGTTCTGAGCATCTCCAAGGCTGGAGGTTCCACAACTTGTCTGGGCAGCCTGTCAGCTGGGAAAGAATAAAATGACGAGGAACCCAAACAGCAAGTCAGTTTTGCATTCTGAGATACACATGTATTCCTACAATATTTGGAATTCCAAACACCAACCAATGTTCCCTTTACATTTAAAACTTTTCTGAAACAATTTTCATGTCAGGTAGCTGGGTTTTTTTGGTACACGTAAAGACTATCAGATTTATACAATCAGATTTTAACTAACCTGTCTTTGGTTTGTTGAAAAAAGCCGTCTACAGTATCTTATACCTTTTGGATTCATTTTTAAGAGAACCTTTTTGCTATACACCTCTAAAAAGGTGACATCATTAGAGAATATGTAAATGTTTAAATCTTTGTTGCTTCTACAGTCTTTGAAAGGAGTAAGGCAAACACTACTTCTTCCATGGGCTCACACAAACTGAAGAAGTTCAGAACACAGAGTCTATTACAGCTGGATACTCATACAGCCTTTCTTTTAGTACCTTTGGTGTAAAGCTGTCTATTCTCAGACACTCCGTCTGTCACTTTAATCAGAACAGTGACCGCTACAATTCATTTTAAGTCCCCTTCTACAGACTTCTGTGCTTTACTTATCACATCGGAAAGTTATTTTACCAAATTTTCTCAATTCTGTATCTTTTATTTCACAATTAAGCCCTTCCCCCATAGCACTCTGAGTGATAGAGAATCACCACAATACATTTAATACCTCAGTCAGGAAGCAAAGCACTATTATTTTTCCCATTACTTCGAATTGGAAACTCTGCCCAACATCAAAACTGCCAGAGGAGTGAGCTGAAGGTTAAATTAGAACTCATCGATTTGACACTAATATCTGGCATCCACAATGGTCTGGTTGCAGGCCAGGACAAGAAGCTAAAATTACAACAGCAACTACAGTGATGAGCCCTGCGGCTAGTGGAGAGATGGTAGATAACCCCCTTCATTCTTGATCCCTCTGCTCGGACTCAGCGGTTCCTGAGAGCAGAAAAGGAATATTTACAACTTCCTGAGTCACGAGCCACATCTGGAGAACCCTATTTAAAAGCCACTGATGGCCAAACACTTCCCTTTTTTGAATCCTCTTAAAACTTTTACTCAGAACCTACACGTTAACTCCAAGAAAGGGAAAACACCCAAAAAGATAAAAGCAAAACGGTGTGTATCTTTAGTAGTTATGTGCTACGGTCAACCCTCATGACATCGCATGCTTCACCAGGTTCAGTCACTAAAAGCAGATGAAATATATTCCACAAATGAAAGGTCTCATCCTGACTCTGACACGCAAAAATCAGTGCAACTCTGTATGACTACTATGTGTGTGGATGTGCAAGCACAAATACATATTATCCATAAATACAGAGTTCTATGCAGGCTTTTTCACTTGACTTAAGACTATATAAATATTAGCAAGGCTTTTGACACTGTCTCCCATAACATCCTCATTAGGAAGCTGAGGAAGTGTGGGTTAGATGAGGTGACAGTTAGGTGGATTGAGAGCTGGCTGTGTGACAGGACTCAGAGGGTTGTGATCAGTGGCACGAAGTTGGAGGCCTGTAACCAGTGGTGTCCCCCAGGGGTCAATACTGGTACAATTTTGTTTAATATACTCATTAATGACCTGGATGAGCAAGTTCGCTGATGACACCAAACTGGGAGGGGTGGCTGACTCTCCAGAGGGCCGCGCTGCCATCCAGCATGACCTGGACAGGCTGGAGAGCTGGGCAGAGAGGAACCTAATGAGGTTCAACAAAAGCAAGTGCAAGGTCCTGCACCTGGGGAGGAAGAATGCTAGGCACCAGTATAGGTTGGGGGTGGACCTGCTGGGAAGTAGTTCTGAGGAGAAGGATCTGGGGATCCTGGTAGACAGTAAATTGTCCATGAGCCACCAACGTGCCCTTGTCGCCAAAAAGACCAATGGAATCCTGGGCTGCATAGGGAAGAGTGTGTCCAGTAGGTCGAGGGAGCTCATTCTGCCCCTCTACTTGGCACTGGTGAGGCCACAACTGGAATACTGTGTCCAGTTTTGGGCTCCCCAGTTCAGGAGGGACAGGGAGCTGCTGGAGAGAGTCCAGCGAAGGGCAACCAAGATGACTGAGGGATTGGAGCATCTCCCTTATGAGGAAAGGCTGAGAGAGCTGGGACTCTTAGCCTGGAGAAGAGAAGGCTGAGGGGAGACCTTATTACTACTTACAAATATCTAAAGGGTGGGTTGAAGGAGGATGGAGCCAGACTCTTTTCAGTGGTTCCCAGTGACAGGACGAGGGGCAATGGGCACAAGTTGGAACATAGGAAGTTCCGTTCCAACACAGGGAAAAACTTCTTTACGGTTTGGGTGACAGAGCACTGGCACAGGCTGCCCAGGGAGGTTGTGGAATCCCCTTCTCTGGAGATTTTCAAGACCCACCTGGATGCAGTCCTGAGTAATGTGCTCTGGGCAATCCTGCTTTAGCAGGGGAGTTGGACTAGATGATCTCTAGAGGTCCCTTCCAACTCTGAAAATTCTGTGATTCTGTGATTTTCTCCTGTTACTACTAGGATTTGCAAGCAAAAGCCCACTAATGTTAAGAAGTTTCACTAAAAATTATTTTGGTCTGTGTTAAACATGTGACAGAACAATGGAACATTACTCAGTTTTCCCCTCAAAGGAATACAAATCCTATAAATACATGGAAAATGGATACAGACATTTGTCCTACATATATTCCTGTGATTTCTTAATTGTATTGTTCTGGCTTAAGCAGTGAGAGCTGCTGGCCCATAAAAGGAACTATGAGCACACTTTGCTTTTGAATTGGAAGAAGGTCCTACCCACGTGTTCATTTACATTATCTTATTACCAGTTTTCTTCTGGAAAAATTACATCTCTTATCCACATCTCTCTGCTGCCTTAACTCTGCTGCCTATGAAGGGTAAATGCCCTTATTTGCATATGCCTTATAATGCACAGAAAATACATTTAAATGTAATTTAAAGTGTTTAATTTACTTTAAAAAATGCAAAAAATCCTTAAATATTAATTTTAGAAAGCAAAAAGCATCAGGATCCTTTTAAAGGTTTTTCTGTTTTTACTGAGGGTGACTGAGCACTGGAACAGGTTGCCCAGGGACGTTGTGGAGTTGTCATCCTTGACAAACAAACAGTCCGAACATGGTCCCAGGCAACAAACTCTAGATGGCCCTGCTTGAGCAGGGGGGTTGGACCAAGTGACCTCCAGAGGTCCCTTCCAACCCTGACCATTCTGCCATCATTCAGCTATCAAGACACCTGAGAGATCATATCTCAAGCAGACTCATGAGATATAAGCTGCTATTACCTTTTCAGCGGCTGACCTCCATCCACATGCAGCTAACATCTGGTTCAGTGGAAGTACTCAATAGGATGACATACCATTTGCGGCTAATACCAGGTCTATTTTCTAGGATTAGCATATGAGTAAGTACACAGGAATACTTTTTTACAAGACAAAGAAATATAAGCATTTAAAACTACTATAGACACAGAAATACCAGTAATCTAACTGGAGACAGACCATCAAGTTGGTTCTGGTGTTAGCTCTCCCCATATCCCTACTTGTTACATTTCTTCTTGAATTTCATAGAATAATCAGAAAAGGGGCCATCTTTCCATATTAATTTCTCTGTTGAATATCACAATGGCATCTTGAGCCTAAATAGAACTCTTAAAATGAACAGAAGAAAAATCACAGAATCACAGAATTTTCAGAGTTGGAAGGGACCTCTAGAGATCATCTAGTCCAACTCCCCTGCTAAAGCAGGATTGCCCAGAGCACATTACTCAGGACTGCATCCAGGCGGGTCTTGAAAATCTCCAGAGAAGGAGACTCCACAACCTCCCTGGGCAGCCTGTGCCAGTGCTCTGTCACCCGAACCGTAAAGAAGTTTTTCCTTGTATTTGAATGGAACTTCCTATGTTCCAACTTGCACCCATTGCCCCTCGTCCTGTTACTGGGAACCACCAAGAAGAGTGTGGCTCCATCCTCCCTCAACCCACCCTTTAGATATTTGTAAGCAATAATAAGGTCTCCCCTCAGCCTTCTCTTCTCCAGGCTAAAGAGTCACAGCTCTCTCAGCCTTTCCTCATAAGGGAGATGCTCCAATCCCTCAATCATCTTGGTTGCCCTAAATCGTACTGGTACTAATCTGAAAGCGTCCCAAATGTAGCGCATTATTTTCACTAGCAGGTTGACGCAATGCTGCACGTGGTGGTATAAAGCAAAACGCATATGCCACACAACTACTGTGGGACTGATTTTGCACATGGAAAAGAAACTATTTCTCAAAATAAACATATGGTACGTTCCCTGCCAAAGATCCACTCTCACACGGCTAATTTTGTAGAATTTTCTCCCTTCCTCTGAAGGAAATCTGAAGGGCTCCCCCCAGCAATGAATCATTCCCTCACAGAGCCGCATCGTGTTTCCTTTGGCTATGGCTAACAGTTACTGATTATAGAGCACACATACAACTCAAGTAGGGTAATGAAGTTTTTTACTCAACTCATTTTGATGAAGTAAAGAGTTGAAATCATGATTTTAAGTAAAGTTTTTCTCATTAAAAGGACAGAAACACAAAAAAATAGCAACCGCTCCCTTTTAATATGACTGTTCTTTGCTTTAACCTCCCCTTTCCAAAAAAAAGACGACAGAGAGAAAAATCGTTATTTTTTTTCTTCTCACTGATAATGTAACAGCCTACGCAATACATATTCAGTCAAAGTGTCCTTTTAAAAAAAAATCTAAGATACTTACGGAGTCCAAACCCTCGGAAAGGCAGCAATTTCTTCTGGTGTATATTCATCTAACCTCTTGGGAACTGCACGTGGCTGAGGAATCTCTTGTAGAAGATTCTTCTGTATATCTTCTGGAATAACCTAAGGCAGGTTAGAACAGTCTTAATCATCTGGTTGTTTAAAAAACACCACCATTCCCCCTCAAATCCAGACCAAAATTTGGCAACACTACTGCATTCTTCATGCTAAGTGTTTGACCTAAACAGAAAGCAAATAATAAAGAAATAATAAAGAAAAAAGCATCAACATTTCAACTATATTTAAATAATAAACAAAAAGCAGCTTGATTTTTCTTCATTTACCTTCTTATGACAGGAGTTTTGCTATTGCTAACACTCCCTCTTCACCTCCAAAGCACACAGGAATGAAAAATGTAACTGCATGACTACTCACATCTTCTGGGAAAAGGTGCAGCCTCTGCATCATAGTTCTTCTCTGAAGGTTTTTTGGAAGCATTCTATAAATAGTCAGTTTAACGATCTGTGGAAAGATAACATGGCAACAAACGATCAGACAGGCTATAAACAACATGAAAAAGGTTTCCCTATGCTCATTCCACTAGTCACTAAACCTCTTTTCAGTCAATTTCTTCCTTGCTGAAGTACTCTGGCACCACATTCAGAAGGTGCTCTAGACTTACTGTTTTGGAAGAATGAACACTTACTGTAACAGCCATATAGAAAATTTCAGCTTAGAAAGTTAAGAGCTATATTTAGCCTTGTGGATGACTGCATAGGATCATTCAACTTTGAAAAGAACCGAGAAGCTTGTGGTAACTCCATATCGTATTGCACATTTATGTACACATGTTACTGAGGGGAAAAAAAAAAAAAAGCTCTAACAAATTTACGAAGCGTTCTCAGCATGTAGTTTAACACAGTAGTTTGCTGTGTTTGAAACTTCTATATGCATCATATCTCAAGCAAAGCTGACACACCAAGACATTGTCTCATGAACATACTATACATATTTATAATTTATCTCCCTTGCTCTTAGTTCCAGATGAACAATCTCATTTCTGGGCACGAGGAACGAACAGAATTTGTGTACCTACACTAGATGACGCTTATTAAAAATTAACAAAATTCGACAGGATTTCTCTTGGACTCTAGTATGTAAGCCCGTAATTTGAATACAAAACACATTGTTGTGGACTTCACCCAAAAGGGGAACATTTTTAAATGTAAAACAAGGCATGCAACTGTAAGAGACAAAGAGGATTTTATAAAGGACAGCAAAGCATTTAGGGGTAGACCCACATGCAATTTTTTAAGTAGAAGGAAACCCACCCCGCCTGTCTTCCAAGCCACCCAGACATTAACTAGCTCCAAATCGGAAACTACCCAAGAATGCTTGGCTGAAGTCAATAAGCCACACTGAAATGCAGTGCACTAAGCACAAACAAATCTCCCCAGCACTTGGGTATTTTGAAAAGTGTACTGAGCAGAGCTGCTTTTTTAAAATAAAATTAAAGGAATTATATCAAAATTTTAGAGATAATCACTAATGCAGAGTTCCCAGCTGGAACCACGTAGTTAAGATAGACTGATTGTTACAGGTGAAATTATTGAGAAGTGCAGGTTCTTAAACTTGCAGGCAATTCTACTGGGGTTCTGAAGTTAGTAAACACTCAGATAATTTGGGCCCAGTTTTCATTTTGCCATTCATAGGCTGGAGACAGAACTTAACAGGCAGTAGCCTTGTCTTAGGATCCTCACAAACGTATACCAGCTGCCTTAAGAAACTCTGAAGACATTTACAGAAGCCTTAACATCATGAAGATATTTAGATGTTATGCAGCCAGTACCACAGATCTGTGGACAAATATAATTAATCAAGACGACAGAAGAAATATATTAGGCCAGGCAGAATAATCTGTAGTGTTGATATCTTCTCTAATAAAAATCAATAAACAACTATTAAAAAACAAAGATGAAAACTAATGCTTTTAGGGATAAAAACTATTATGATTGTGCAGGAAACTAGTTTATTTAGGTCAGTATATCGTGTGCTTAGACAAAGACAAGATGAAGACGGAAAATGAACCTTCACTGGTTTACTTCACTGAATATTGAAAATAAAGTGAGACACTATAACAATGTAAGAAAACACATGGATATTAACAACAGCTCCTGTGAACAGCCATTTGACCATTAGTAATTTTAATTTTGTACACTCATTTTCCTTTCTACCCAGTATTTTTCATTATAGCCAATGAAAGATCAAAATCTATCAGATCTAAAATAATGGATCCAGAGACTTCACAATATATTGCCTAACTGGGGGGGATTTTTTATCTAAAAATTACTTTTAGCTTCAGTTGTGAATCAGTGTTAAGTCCTTAGAATAATAAACTGTACATACACATCATCCAGCATATGACCTATGACCTGCAGATATACAGAGCTAGTTATTTAACGATTTCGCTCCAACAACAACAAAAAAGACACTTCAAAATACTTTAATGAACATTCTTCAATATTGTACTTCTTTAAACAACTGATATTTGTGTCAGATTTTTCATCTTCCCCTGTAGCACGTGGCACAGGCATCTGTTGAAGCAAAACAGTGAACTAGATGAACAGCTGGTCTAATCTGGTTGTAGGTACTACTGCCTGGCAAATCTGATGCGATTTTTTTAAACCACATTACAAAGACAACAGTTCAGTTGTAAAAAGGTACCTATTAAAAAGTCACACTGGAGAAGAATGACTGATTTATATGCTCAGGTTTAACAATGAAGGAATGCTTTCAACGTTGCGTACAGTCACTGGAGAACTGACAACCTCAGGGGATGACACGCTAACATGAAAGCAGGACTTGGAGAATGAATTATAGATAATTATATATTCAATAACAGTTTCTGTAGGTAAGTATGCTAACTGCAACAAGCATAATACAAGGTATGCTTTGGTACATCTGCCAATCTCCACGCTGTTCAAGAACTCATTTGGCTTCCTGTGCTCTCTCACACATGCAAGAAGTGCATTTCTGCAAAACCTGCAAGAACAGAAAAATCACCCTCACATGAAGCACAAACCATTTTTCACTGCCCAGGAGACCATTGAACCATAGAATGGTCTGGGTTGGAAGGGACCTTAAAGATCATCCATGGGCAGGGATACCTTTTACTAGAACAGGTTGCTCACAGCCCCATCCAGCCTGGCCTTGAACACTTCCAGGGATGGGGCATCCACAGCTTCCCTGGGCAACCTGTGCCAGTGTCTCACCACCCTCACAGTAAAAAATTTCTTCCTTATGTCCAATCTAAATCAACCCTCTTTCAGTTTAAAACTAGTACCCCTTGTCCTATCACTACAGGCCTCAATAAAGAGTCTTTTTCCATCCTTCTTTTAAGTCCCCTTTCTATATTGAAAGACCACAGCAAGTTCTCCCCGGAGCCCTCTCTTCTCTAGGCTAAACAATCCCAACTCTCTCAGCCTTTCTTCACAGGAGAGGTGTTCTCTGCTCATTTTTTGTGGTCCTCCGCTGGCCCCCCTCCAAGAGGTCCATGTCTTTCTTGTGCTGGGGCCCTCAGAGCTGGATGCAGCACTCCATGTGGGGTCTCACACAAATCACCTCCCTCAACCTGCTGGCCATGCTTCTTTTGATGCAAACCAGGATATGGCTGGCTTCCCAGGCTCCAAGCCCACATTGCATGCTCATGTCCAGTTTTTCATCCACCAGTATCCCCAAGTCCTCTTCAGGGCTGCTCTGAATACACCCCCCCAGCCTATATTGATACTGGGGGTTGCCCCGACCCAGGTGCAGGACCCTGCACTTGGCCTTGTTGAACTTCATGAGGTTCACATGGGCCCACGCCTCACACCTGTCCAGGTCCCTCTGGATGGCATCCTATCCCTCTAGTGAATCAACCACACCACTCAGCTTGGTGTCATCTGCAAATTTTTTGAGGGTGCACTCAATCCCCCTATGTCACTGATGAAGATATTACATCCTCGCCTGATCCAGAGCAGGAAACTGGACTTCGCTGTTGCAGTCTCTCCCATTCTGGAGCTTCAATGCAATTGAGTAACTCACAGCTTACTAACTAGACATTTCAAACAGCTCATTTTTTAATTGCATGTTTTTGTGGTTATCATAGAGCCTTTAATGTCTGAGCCACTTGAAAATATTTCCATCTATACATTACATCCATGTGGAGAACAAGAGAGAGGAACAATAACCTTGGATTTGAGTACGCAGGTTCCCTGCCTCAGCAACTCATGCTAGGGGCAAAGAGGGAACAAAGCCTTGGCTTCTGCAGCAGATCATAATTGCCTTGCAGGTCAACGGCAGATTTATACCTCCCACCCCTCAAGCTTGTTCACCTTGGCAAAGAAGAAAAAAAGAGAAAAATGAAAAAAAAGGAGGGGTGAGATGGTGATAAACTATTATTTGAGACTTGTAAAAAGCCAAGTAAGTGTATTACTGAGCAAACTAGCATGTAAATTTAAAAGGTCATGCTATTCTGTACTTTTATTATTGATTTAATGCAAGGTAGTTAGTCCAACTACAGAACAGGCGGCCATACAGGGAGCTAGGACAGAGAAGGCAATGCTGGAAAACCTCTAGTTTCCTTCATTGTAACTTCTGTCTCAAAGAGTTTTCTAGGGGCCAAAGCAAATCCAAACCCAGCTCCTGGAAAGACCAAGTTTACATCCAGCTTCTTGCCCAAAATTCTGCCTACAGCCAGAACCTCACTCTGACTGGTGTGATGACAAGTCAAAGTACAGGCTTAACCGAAGCTGTATGGACTCCTTTTGCAACTTGACTAAGGTTGCATAACCGAAAAGGCAGATCCAACCAGCAATATTTACAGGGTGTTAAGTAAGCGCTCTCCTATGACCTGACCACGCTCAAATTTTACTAAAAATAAACCAACGCTAAATAAAAAGGTATAGAATTGCAAGAAAAAGTCTGCTACTGAGCTCATGCAAAACCCGAACCCAGATTCAATGCTCCCTGAAAGCACGTATCTGAACATGCTGTTTCTTTAAGGAATTAACAACAAAATCTTTCTACATGCTTGTAATACACTTCTAAAAAAAGAAAATTCTTATTGTTTGCTATGTGATTATATTTACTTTGAACTATTACAATAACAAGGGTTTAGTTTTACACCAAAGGTACAAAACCCTGTTGATTTCTGTGGGATTTCAAACTGGCAAGGAGGTCTACCTACCCACAGGTCTCACTGCAACCTCCATCTCAGTTTAAAAACAATTAGTACAGTTTATTCAGTTATTTATGGATTCCTACTGCCTCCTCTCCCCAGTCCTTTATCTTTAGTACTAGCAACCTTTAAAATTCCATATCGTCATAAATACTCTCTCCTAAAGGCCATGACACTTTCTCCATCAGGCAGACAGAAACCATCAGATGTATACAGCCACAAGAGCGTTAATATTTGGGGATTTTTTAAGTACTGGAATGCTGTTTGCCTCAATTTCTTTTGAATTACAAAATTCCTATTGGCT